GATTCAATAAATATTTAAATAGAAAAGTTATTTTCATTAATTTAATAGTAAAAAATTAAAATATTTATTTGCATATATATATATTGTTTTATTCAATAAAAGTTTATTAAATACAACATAATAATTTGGCTATAATATATATATAACTTATTTAAAGTTAAATATAACTAAATAATTACATAATATTTACCTGAATATTTTAGATTTCCAACAATATTTAATTATTTGAACAAACAAAATAATTTACAAGTTTTTTATTTATTTATTGAAGCAATTTATATTTTATAATCAAAACACACAATTATATAATAATCAATTTGTTAATAATAATAAGTTAATATAAATTACACAATTTATGCGACAAACAAATAAAACATTTAATATAGTATATAAAAGCACGGTTTCAATAATATATGAACACAAATAATAAAAAATATATAATCAATTAATTCAAGTCTATATAATTTGCATTAAAAAAAACTTTCTCCGATTTCAATATATTAAGCGTCAAATCATATGATGATAACGTTATAAATATAAGTTTTTCTTTAGGGGTTTGTTATATCTATGATAAAACAATGTACGGCCTGTTAAACAACTATTGGACATCAAATTGTAGTCAAATAGTGTGAGCCGTTTGCATAACTAATAGGTTTTTACAAATATTAGAGAAACATTTTTCACTCATTTTCTATATTATTATATCATATAATAGACACATATAATTCAAACTCCTCCCATAATATCAAATAGCACTGCATTTGCATAATTTTTTTTTACTTTTTGCTACAAAGCATTTGCTATTTTTATTATGTTAAATAATAATAATACAAAAGTTTCACCAAAAATTTTGAATTTACATTAAAATTACACAGTAGTAGTCAAGTAATCAAACAACTACCAGTGCTATACAGTTTGTACAGTTATTTAATATTAAAATTATAATAAACAATTAAATCAATAGTAGTTTTAAATAACCGGACAATAAGTTTATCATAAAACAGTGGCTTTTCATACAGTATAACAAATTGCTGTTTAATATATGTTATTCACTGTTATTTGTTTTCAATAATTTTTGTCTTCAATTCTTGTTTTGTGTAATGACTTGTATTGCCAGCACTTTTGAGTTAACAAAATAAAAACTATTGACTTCACTTCATAGGCAGCCAATAGGGTTGTCCTCCCGGTGCAGCCCATGAGGTGTGCACCACTTGTCCGTCAAATTTTTTCTGTACATTTGGTTTTTGTATTCATAATTTATTAATTAATATTCATATTTTTTGAGATTTTATTATATATATATATTTTTTTTTTAATTTTATAATATATTTATACATATGCTAGTTTCAAATATAAATATATAATATATATAATTATTTTTTAAAATTTTGAATAACATTTTGTAAAACACTTACTAAATCATAGTATCCTCTATATGTCTGATCATGAATATTAATATATCAATATATATATATAATATTTGATTAAATTAATACAATGCATTGTATTAAAGCAAAAGTACCCGTATTTTTTAGCGACAAAAATAACAAAATATTAGTTAAACTCACGTGTTTTTTATTAATATCGTCAGTAAATATACGGGTAATTGTCATGAATTGCACATTTGTAACAAATGTATGTAAATATGAGTTGTTTTTTAATTTACCATAAAATTCAATTAGCATTTAAAATAATATTTAATAATTTTAATTATATAAATAAATTCAATGTTTATTTTTAACAAATATAGTCAATTCATATACTTTATATATATATATATATATATACAGTATACTGTATATTATGTGTAATGTTAACTTTTAATAATTTTAATACACACTTACATACATTTATTTATAAATTAATAGACTATATAATAAATATTTTTATTATTATATAATTATTAAAACGTATTATAAGTAAAAATAATATTATAACCATATAAACAAAGTTAAGAAAAGTGAGATAATTATATACACCAATAAAATTAACATAATTTTACTTATTTTTCTTATCATTTGTTTGTCACACAAATATATAGTTTTTTCTAAGGTATTTAACTTAAAGCTAGTTATGTAATAATACTAAAAAACTTATACTATGATATTTTTTATCAACCATTTAAGTAAATGATATATAATGATAATAATATAATATATTAATAATAGTGGGTTTTTTAAACAAAAATGGTTATAATGTTAAATAAAATAGTATTATCCAAAAAAAATAAATAATAATAAATGTTTAAATGTTATACTATTATGTAAAGTCAAATTTTATATAAATTAAGCTTAATCAGCAAGTTAATTTTATCAAAATTATTTTTAAGACAACTATAGCGCCACCTTTTAATATAAATATTAATTATATATTTATATTTTATTATAATAATTAAATAATTTTTATTACATGATATCAATTATTAAATAAACTTAATCAAACTTACGACAACTATTTGGCTACAATACAAACAATTTATAGATGTATTAAAATTTTTAATTAATTATAATATTATTATTTTTTTAATACTATTATATTTAGCTAAAATTGGACACAATTTGCTAACTAATGTTTGAATTAGAATTAACCTCCAGTTTAGTCTTTTTTTAAATTAAATTTCTAGTTAAATGTTAAATATATTGTTTGTTATACACAGGATGTCGTGTCTGATATCAACCTCCAAGTGCTTAAAATTGGTGAATCAATAATAAACAACGAGATGTCATACTTGTCCTCATTGTTGTCGGCAATCAATACATTATTAAAGATATCATTAATAAAATTTAAGTGATTTAGTCTATCAATGTAATATTTTATTAATATATATATATATTATATATCATATTATAACTGTATATATATTGATCTATAAATTAATTAATCTATATAAATACATTATTTATATATATAAATTATTTATATAATTATATATATAAATTATAAAAAAATAATTATATAATATTTTATATCGTATTGGTTTATATTGGTACTATTAATCAGTAAAAATACATATACAGTGCATACGCTATAAATAAAATGATACAGAAATGATTAAATTATAGTGTTATATATTGTAGATCTAATAAAAATAAAATGATATAATATTTTTCTATATATTAAAACACATTTTAAATTAAAATAATAAAAAAATATTAAAAATAAAATTGTTATCAATATATTTTTTAAAACTATTTTATTAATAACAATTGTAGTCAAATTAATTATTTAATTAATTAATTTAATTAAATATGTGTTTAGATTTTATGTGTGTAAATTTTTTAAGTATCACTATTCAGTAGTTATTACACACTGTACTTATATAGTACTTATAGATAAGCAAACTTTCTCTGAATTTTTGTTTTTATTTTTATTAAAACACTTAGCTTTAAATTGACTCTTAGTTTAACCATAACTTTAAATCATTGCTATCTATGTCTACTAATAGGATCTATAAAACAAAAAATAAAACTTTCAAAGTATGAGTAGTATATCTCAATAATCTTTTTGCATTTTATCAGTTTATCTTATTTTTTGTCAAAATTAGTAATCTTATTGTATTATATATGTATTATATTTTTTGTAATTTAAAAAATAATATTTAAGAAAATTTAAGTATCATTAGGGGGTGTCATCATTGGTCATTATATGTGAATTAACAATGATAATAACTAAATATATATATATTATAATTATATATAATTAAATAACTAAATATATATATATATTATAATTATATATAATTAAATACAATATAATGTTATGAATTATTTTAAAATTTTAGTTAAATTATTTGCAAAGATTTTGGTTTTGATAGTAAATTTTGATTTAAATTATTAATTTTAATTAAATTTTAAATACTGTTTTATAGTTAATTTTACAGCACATGTATTGCCATCTCTTACTATTGACGGCAAAAATATTATATAAGAATAATATGATATATAATATTGTATTGAATTACAAGTGAAATATTCTTTCAGTACTACCATATCTTTAGTTGTTTTTTATTAAATAAAATTATTTATTTTCTCTATAATAGTCATTAAATATAAAAATGTCATTAATATTATAATGTATTTATATTTTTATGTAGTTAATAATAAAAATAATGGCTAACATAAACGCAATTTCTTGATAATTATAACGCATATACTGTATTGTATTGATTTGGTTAAAAGATTTACTAATTTATTTAAAATATTAAAATTAAATAATATTATAGTTTAATACTACAAAAATTAAATTTTATCAAATTATTGGTCAGTTTTCAAGGTATTTGATAGTAAATGTCATTAACAACAACAATAGTGCTATAAATTAATAGAAAATATTTTGACTGTTAATGATTTTTTGTTGATTAATATTTCTGAACACTATATTATTGAAACAAAACAAAAAAGTTAATGCATTCGTAAGTATTATTATTATTATTAAAATATAAAAATTAATTTTGTGAGCTTTTTTAATAATCATAAATAAATTAAATATGAAACTAATTTTAGTGAAAGTTTTTTATTATGTTTTTTTGCATTTTCTATGCTTTAATCAAAACTACTACTAATTTGATATTACAATTTATTCACAATATTAGTCTATAATACCTGGTATATAAATTTATATACTGACTATATTATGAAACCTTGATATTACAGTATAACTATTGATACAAATATATAAATTTATATATGTGTGTCAAGTATTTTGTATAAAATTAATTAAATGAATTTTCTATTATACGAATGTAAGTTATTGTAATTGACATTGTTTTACATATTTTCTCAATATATTTAAATGTTTATTTATGCTATTGTATTGTTTTGTTTGCCACAAAAATCATTTTTGTTTATTATGTAAATTAATTTTGTAATCATTGCCAATCAAACAAAACTGTTGTATAATTTATTATACTAAATAACTAAAGCAAGTTCTGTTAAAATATAAATCAACAATAATAATAATAATAATATTTATTATATACAGTATTATTATTATTATATTAGAGAATTGATATTAAAATGGGATGCACTGCCAGTACAACTGATAATATAAAGAAAACAACTCAACAAAATGGAAATACTATTAATACAAATCCAACGATTGAAATAAATAAAAATTATTATAATAATCAACAAAATGAAGTCAACACAACAAATGGAGGTTTGAATTTGTTTTAATAGATTATATAATTATATTTTATTTTATGTTTAAAATTTAATTATTAAAAATATAAATATATTTTAATCTCTATAAATTTATTATTATAATTATATTGAGAAAATTGTAGTATAAAATGTCAAATATTGCCAATAAAATAAAAATTGTCAATTTTTACACTTAATTAATTTTTTTAAATATTTATATAAATTTTGTTTTGTTTTAATTAATTATTAATAGTTTGTAGTCTAGATAGTATAGTTAATTTGCTTTTTTGTTTACTTAAAGTTTTATATAAAGTATACTTGATTATATTAATAAACTAATTAGTTTTCTGATTAACAAAAATTCATAACTTTAAATTTGTAAAATAATTTTAAGATTTATATGTAATAAATAGCTTGACTACAAAATAGAAATTAAATAATTTAGTTAGAAATTAAAATATTTATTTATTCATGTAAAACATATTAAATACATTTTTGTTAATGTTATTCGTCTATGTTTTTAATAAATTTTGATAAATTTCGTTTAAGTTGAAAATTTTAAAAAATAAAATAATTTTTGTTATTTTTATAACAATACAATTTCCTTTTTATAAGATCACCTCATTGTTAATATATTACACAATTCACAATCTTATTGTATAAAAAAGGAAATTGAATTTTATAAAATTTTGTTTTTATATACACTTTAATTATTTTGTTAACAATGTTTTAATAACACATTTATAAAGTATGGCTAAAATTATATATTTTTAAAAGTTTATTTTAATGATTTAATTAAAATTAATTCATTAGTATATTTTAACTGTCTTATTATATAAAAATCTAAATTATTTTTATTATAAACTATTTAATGATTAAATGTTTAAAAAATATAATATAAATTTTAAAATTTTATAGTCATGCCTAACTCAACTAGAGATGTAATAAATGTAATAAATTTCCGTCAAAAAGTTTCCAGAAACTTTCTCTTGAATAAATTTCTATAGAAATTTAACTTTAATGTTATTCTATGGGATCCCCATATCTATAGTTATTGTAATACCAGTATTTTAATAACATATAATACTATACATATAATATCATACAGTATAGTACAGTACTATACAAATGGGATACCTATATATAAAATAATTATAATTATTTAATAATAATCAGTTTTGTAAAATTTTATTCATTTTATTATATAGATCATAATTTAATATAGTTTAATTAATTAATTTTTATTTCAATTAATAATTAAAATAATAATAATAATATTTAATGTATTGTTATATGATAGCAAATATCGAGATAACAAAATTAACCATGGTGATCCCATAGATAGAAATTTCTTTTAGAAACTTTCTAGAAATTTCTCTATTATTTTATAAATTTCTCTTTTTTTGTCAACACTAAACTCAACTCACAAAATATAAATACAATAAATAACCTTAAATGCCATTTAATAAATATATAGGATTTTGTTGTTAATAATTCATTTACTAAAAATTAATTTATTTTATAATAAAATAATAAACATTTAATTTGTAATTTATTTTTTAAAGATATTATATTTACAGAATTTCTAAACAAGTTATATTAGCCAAACATTGTTTAGAAATAAAATTAAATTATACAATGCATTAATTTATAGTTCATATTATTTTATTAAATTTTATTTTTTAACAAATTATTCAATATATTGATTTAAATTTCAAACAATATTTACTTGTGTTCTGATTTATATTATTGATTAATTGATTAAATAATTTTTAAATGTATTTTAATGAATAAACTTAAAATAATTGAAATGTAATATATAATGAAAAAAACAAATAATATACAGTGAATATCAGTGTATTATATTGTGATAACACTTAAAATATAGTTGTAAATATTACTATATATATATATATATACTATACAATACAATTATAAAATATATTTTATATATAATTCAAGTATAATATTTTTACTAATTTATATTTGAGTTTATTTTTTAAGTGCATATTTTATAGTTGACAAAATAGATTAAATATTTTATTTATATTATTATTAAGTCATAATATATCATTAATAATTATGTCTATAAATTTAAATTAAGATAATTTATAAATATTATAGATTTTTTAATTTTTTATTATGGAAATAAATATACTAAATATTGATTGCAATTTTGGCTAAATTATTATATTTTTATAGAAAATACTTTTATTATACAGTAAAACATTTTACGAAACAATATCAATACAACTAATAGACTATTAAGTCATTTATGTAATCATTATTGACTACAAATTGCAAATAATTTAGGTTATAATAGAAATTTAAATTTTGCATTTATTTAGAATACATTACATTTAAGGAATTTTATTTTTTTACATATTTTTAAAGAAAATAACATTTGTAAAATTATAATACTTTATTTATCTAAAATTTTAGTTTTTTTATTAAAACTATTAAAATTGATTCATATACTGTACCTTCATTTACAAAAAAAAATTAAAAAAATAAAACTTTATAAATAAAATAACAATAAAATAGAGAGACAATTGCGATAATAAAAAGTTAATATTATTAATACCTTTCTTATTGAACACACATTTAAATAGTGATATAACACATACACACATACACTGTGTATACGCATGTGTTAGACATTGTTATGTTAGTTCTGTAAAAACTGTCTCACTTTGTGCTAAACCAAATCTATATGAGTTGCACCACAAATACATAGATATATCATAGATTATACTTAATATATACATACAAATAAAAATTAAAACTCCTCCTCTAAGCATTAAACGTTATAATATCGCGCCCATATATATTGCTGTTATACTATAAAGCGTACAGTAATAATGTAAAGATTTATATATAAGATATTATTTTTTAAATTAATTAATTAACTAATAAAATATAAATTATAATTTTTTATTGAAATAGAAATATTTTAAATTTTTAACAATTATTAAAATTTAATTTTATTTATGAATATATTAATTATTATTTAATTATTATATTTTAATTTAATAATTATTTAAATTTGTATTTAATAAATTATTAATTGTATTAATTATTAATATGGAATATATAAAAAATTATTAATTATACAAAATTATTATAAAAAATATTAATTATAAAAAATATATATATTTAATCTAAAAAAAATGTAGATATTATATGACAACTATGACATTAGTTTTATTATTATTATTATTATTATTAGACATTTTAATTAACTTTAATTAACTTTAAAAACTATATTATTGCACATAATTGATTGTTATTAATATTGTATTGTATTTATCACAATATTTAGTACTATTTATAACTAATATTTATTATTTAATCACATTTGTTATCACAAATCTAAAAGTACTTAAACAACACGTGGACTTAGTTTGTTTTCAATGCCACACAATGTCATCCTATAATACAGTCAATAGTATATATGCGCGCAATATTATAGCGTCTAATGCTTAAGGGGCGGAGTTTTTACATGGCATAGTTATTATACACACTAAGTTGTATTGTTTGTATATATTAAGTATAATCTATGATATATCTATGTATTTGTGGTGCAACTCATATAGATTTGGTTTAGCACAAAGTGAGACAGTTTTACTAAACTCTCAGTATTAATACAATACTATACGTGAATATAACTCTAAATAAATGAGTGAAAAATCGAAACTCGAAGCAAACAAACAGTGAGTGAGTTCGCGATCGAGACTAAAAAACACTGGGCTTTGCATTGAAGGTGTACTCCATATACAGTATATATATATATATATAAATATATTCTCTATTGTAAAGTGCTTTCAAATTATTATTATATTATTTATTATCATTATTTTTAATGATAATTATTCTTGGTGATTTGTAATAACAATTTATTTTATTTTTAAATTTCCAATAATTAGCTATAATAATAATAATAAAATAATATTATTATTACTAATAATTTGGTAAGTCTATTTCTTAGTAAAAATATTTACTTTTTTTAAATAATTATTTCATTATTAATATTATTAATGACTATTTCAAGTTGATTTTAACGTTAGAAATAAAAAAAATTAATTCAATTATTTTTGTTTTGTTTTACAATAACCTTTATATATATATATATATCTAAAAGTAATAATTGAATTTACATATAAACATTAATTATATTTTTATTTATTTATTTTTTGTAAATTTAATTTAATACTAACTTTGAATATATTAGTAAATTATTTATAAACCAATTGAACATTTATTATGTAAGCAAATTCTAATACATTACCCCCAGAATTGAAGTATATTTACTCATTTGTGTTTACAAAACAAATTTATATTTATTAATAATATAAATATAAAATAAATTTTACTATGACTATAGACTGTATAATATAGTTATATACATCTATATATGGCCTAAATTTTTGTTTTTCTCTTTCATTTAATCATATAAAAAATATTTGTTTAGTAAAATATTTTTTTTAATAAAAATACTTAATAATAATACTGTTTGATGAAATCATTGTATTATTATATGAATTATTAATCAAATATTAAATATTTAAACTAATAGACAAAGTAATTATACATATTTTATATGTTCTGAATTATATTCACAAAAAATATAATAATTTAAATATTATTTTTTTAACAAATAGATATCATATGATACGAACAAACAGTTTTACTTATTTTAATCAGATTTAAACAATGTTTGCATTTTTAAAAATAAAATGGAAAAACAATCTGTATTTATATATTTTTTTATGTATAAAATTTAGTATATTTTTTATATGATTAAATTATTATATTTGGCTACATATATCCAATTTTTATATTGACTATAATACAGTGTTTTCATATAAAATAATATGAATGAGTATGTGATATGAATTAATGTATGTATAGTATGTATGGCTGACATCGATCTGGTAGTGAGTGGTCGACAATCTCTCCAAACACTCACTATATTTCTTGTCAAACATTTTTCCTCCATTTTTGCTAACAATTCTC